GGGGGGAGGGGGAATGGGTGCCCAATAACAATAGTTAGTGAGAAGTTGTATGAAAAAATGTAAAGATGTGAAAGCGCATCTGAATTAATAGCCTACTAAGAACAATGCCTACATTTTAAAAATGACTAATGCATTGCTTGTGCCCAATGCTGAAATATTTCACTAAATAATACAGTAATAAATATAGCATCTGTCATGTGCTCTGTAAGTGGTAACAGTGTCATTGGCCTGTGACATGCATAAGGCTGTTCTATAATAAATTTCTCTCCATTAGTCTCTTAGCAGTAGATGAATAAACACAGTGTGCATTGAGAATCTGATGTAGTACTGTACCAAAGTTGTGGCTCTGTTTTTCTTTGTCCTGTTTGGCCACAGAACTATATATAAGAACCTATTATATGTGTTATCAAGGTTACTTTAAAAAATCAGCTTTTTCGTTTTCTAGGACAGTCTCCAAATTCTAAGTCTTGTTCTTTTTGGTGCTTGGTTAGACCCTGAGGCACAGGAGCGATCTTAACACTGCCTTGTTCAGCGTCTGCTGTCCCTGACTGGTCCCTGGAATTAGGGCTCTTCGCTGTGCATTGCTGTTGTCGTGTTTTGCTATTCTGAAGGAATCTGTGCCCATGAGAGAAAAGAGGACCCACCGAATTCACCAGTATGATCTGTGTGATGAATTATTCAGAGCCAAGCTGAGGCCTGTGGCTCGCTTTCTGCGGTCGCTATTTTATGCGGTGGGGACAGGTAAATATTTGCACACTGATAAGGGATCTTCAGATATGAGAATCTGAAAGCCGTCGGATGAGGGTGTAACTGGAGGTATAATTGTGATGGTGCTTAGAGTGGGCTGCGTTAGACGGTAGACTTCCTACACCATAAGTTACATACTGTCTGGGGAAAACCCACACAGCTTGTGATGACCAGAAAATGCAACAGAGAAATCTGTGGAAAAAAAAAAATAAATTTAAATGCCTGAAGACATTCGCCTCTATTTTTGGTCTCTCAGACAGTTTCCATTTTTATCGTACCACATTAAAAGCCTGGTTTCCACTTCCTGGTACAGGTTCATTTCCATTACAACAGTCTTTTCTTAAATTTACCTTTCCACATATGCAAAAGCCAGTCACTGTTTAAAAGTCATATTCCTGCCTCAAACAGCATAAATTTCATGTCGGTTATGTCAAAACAAATCAGAAGCAAAGTGTTCGATGCCACGGTAGTGTAACGCTTCCTCATAAATGTTTAAGGAGCAGACGGTCGCCCCCTGAGCACGTCCTACTTCTCAAAGTGGCAGCAGGAGTTATGGACAGGGCCTCATCTTCTGCCGAAAACCTGGCATGCCGCCTGCTCCCCCCCCCACCAACTCCCCCCTACTGACACACAGTCAGACAGACTGGCGTCCGATGCCCCCCTCCCCACTGAGCACCCCAGGATGTCCTGGCATTTCACTTGTGGCAGGAGATCAGTGCACCTGACATTCGCTATGCTGTGTGGGCATCTACAAACAGGTAACCTCACAGTTTTCATCTTCATCCCTCAAACTCTTACATAATTTATACATAAATAGAACTTCAACTTTTTTTTGACTGTCACGGCGGGCAGACAAACGAGCAGCTTATCTTCCAGGACCGTTTTCTTCTTTCAAAGTCTTACATTAAAGCACAAGACTAAACTACAGGATGAAGGACGGCGCAAGTATCATCCTCAGGTGATCTGTCGGGGTCTGGCTTTGCCTGGCTGTCATCTGAGAAACATGTAACAGGAATCTTCAGCGGACTCCCTTCTTGGATGTGGAAGAAGGTGGAAATGAAGCTCTAGCTGCCTTTGACTGGCATCAGACTCTGCAGCTACACCACGCTGCTGAGAGAGAGGCAGCCGAAACCGATGGAGATGTGGAGCCGCGGCGGCGTTTGCGATGGATAGGGACTGGCTGTTCACGTGTCTGCCGTCTGCTTAGAACTTTGAGAAATACGTATCAAATCTTCTCCAGTCACTCTCCACTGAGACAGCATATGCAGATGTGTGTGTATGTGTGTGTGTGTGTGCGTGTGCATGTAAAGGAGAAAAGTTTTTGGAGGACCTGGGGTGGTCGCCCTTAGATGTGCATGTGCAGTGTGGGCATGCCGTCCAGGGCAGGCCGGGGTTCGATACCCTGTGACTTCATATAGGACAGCAGCTGCTCGGGGATCTCGGCCAGCACATCCTTGGCCAGGCGGGCCATGCTCAGCACCTGATTCCCCGCCCGGTCGATGTAGTCCCGGAAGGGCACAAACTGCAGGACAGCAAATTGCATCAGGTATAAGTGGCTTAGGGATGTGGTATGAGAGGGCTTGTCATTCACTTAGAAATTTAAGGGGGGGGGGGATACCAATCAACAGCAATCAATGACATTAACCACACTGACTTATCATAGCTGTACCCTGGGAAGAACTTCAAAGGCAGACAAGGCATCAAACTGAACCTGGCACTAATTAATCACTAAAGGGGCCATTCAAGTTATTTTCTTTTGTTGCATAGAAACCAGAAGCTCACAGATTTTTTTTTTTTAGCTTCCCCACAGTCAATTTCAAGCTTTAATCACAAATAAGTACAGCATGCTAAATAACGAAAGTCAGCTCATTTTTATAGAAATAAAAAAAACATTTTCTTTGTTCAGTTTGACAATATTTCGCTGTGAGGCACACTGAAGATGATGGGGTATGAGGAGCAACAGGAAGGACTCCGGCGAGTGCCGCACCTGGACGATGTCCCTCTCTGCGAAGCGCCCCCTGGAGGACACTCTCACCTCATCCCCGTCCAGCTCCTCCATGGCTGCGGAGGGAGAGCATTATGTTAGCCTCCATGAGGGGCCACCTCTGCATCCCCAGCTCTGCTTTACAAAGGCAGCTTATTGTTTTGATGCTTTTTGTTTGATGCCGTTTAGCATTTGAGGCCAACTGTGAAGCTGCAGGCACTAACGACGGGGGCCTCTTGGGGAGGGGGGGGGCGCGGTGCTGCATGTTGGCAGATGGCTACGGGGGATAGAGACCGACCCGGTCGAGATGGCATCTCACACACACATCTGCTGCTGGGTGGGGGGTTAATAAGTCCCTCTTCTAAAACCTACCCCTCATAATTGACTTAAAGGCGCCCATTCTGTGTCCCACAATAAATTGTACACACAATCTGACATGCATACTTCATTTATGGAGCGCCTTTTAACTTGGAGTTCAGTGGTGAAAATGCTTTGTTTAAGTCCTATTTTAATTAGCTAACGTACACGGTCTGAAACACATGGCACAAGTTCTTTTAGGGGGTGGCCAACCCACTTTTGCTAGTTTAAAGGTGGAAAAAAGAGTCACAGGACCAGGCACATGGTCTAAAAAGAGTTGCACTAAGTCTCCTAATTAGTCATGGCTGTGTCTGGAGCGTGACATGCTACGGGGTCCCACTGTAATAATCTCATTCATCATTACAGCAATTAGTTCATTCTTGGTAACGCGGCCTCAAAAATAACAGTGAAATACTGCGCCATTGACTTTAGACCCGGATTTTGTTGGTCAAAAGCGCGATCACTTTCCGATGCCTCAAGACAGCTATGCGCCCAGAAAGCACCTGACTC